ATCGTGAAAACATTTGTGAAGGAATTAGTTTTACCTTAATTTCTATTATGACTGGCCTATATGTGTATCTTTCTCATTACGTATTCATGCGATTGGCGAATCAGAACGCGCGTTGTATCTACGGCAGTTTGCATTGACCAATCGGCAACACGCTAATACACTGTGGCTGTTTGTTGACAATTACACAAAATGGCGACAAATTCAATCAATTTTTGCCGATAGAATGATTAAAGCCACCTTCATATACATAATTGCTGCAGTGTTTTAGCGAGTAGGCCTAAAGATAAACAATGCCAAACGTCTTAAAGGTGTGGTTGTGTTTGAAACCTCGATTGTTAATTTTTTTCGGAGCACTTATCGAAGATTTGTATCTAATGTTTTATTTATACATTGAACTCCGTAAAGTAAACAGGTTGATTACACAAAATTAAATGTCTCTACAGTAAAGTACATCTCATTAGTATAATTGAAATTAAACATTTTTTACAAACAGATTGATCAATATAAATTACATTTTAATGAATATGTAACTTTTAAATACTAATGTTATGGTGTAGTTTATAATCTTAACCAATTATACATGCAATTTTAATACTCTCTTGCTTTTTTTAAAAATGATATTTGATATGTTTAATATCAATACAAATATAATTAAACCCTTAGTATGGTACTATCCTGCTTTTCAACAAAATATTGGTATGATATGTTCATATATCTGAATTATGTAGAGACTGTCCACAGTGACTCCCTGTCTATAATGACCTTTTTTCTTTTCTCCCATCGAAGGTCACTGTAAACAGTCTTTACTGTAACTGTAATATCTATTTTAATAAAAAAATTACAGATTTTATGAATATTGTTTTCTTTTCTTTTAAGTGTTTTATGTGCAATTTTAATGCGGAGTTTTTACGTTTACTACTCTTTTTTATTATTAAAATTGTAAAATAAATTTTAAGAATTCAATTGTCACATTGACCAACGATTATAAGTCAAAACTTAACTGGAAAAAGTTAGGAAATTATGGTTAATCTTTCAATATACGTATAATATTGTTTATTCTTAAACCATGTACATGTACATTTGTATTTTTCTTTATCATTTTTTAAATTATCAATCAATTAAATAATTCATAAAATCTAATTTGTAACTGTGAATAATTCCTCGGCATCTTTACTAAATACGAACAACAAAATAAATCAAATGTTTCAAAGTTTAAAGTGTCATATTAATACCATAAAAATGTACCTTTTTTCTCAATTATTGTACATATTCATTGTTTTTTTATCTCATATAGATAAAATGAAACATGCTATTGTTGTTGTTGTTGGTGTTTTTTTTTCGAATTGTATGTTTATGTATATTGATAATCAATAAATTTGAGAGTTGATCTGTGTTTATGAATTATTGTAACCAAACTAAGTGACAAACCTTCATTTTGGAAAAAAAAGCTTATTTATCTGTAAAATATTTGTTCTGTTCTGTAACGATATTAAACATCTACTCCAAAACCTGGAGAGACGGACAATAAACGTGTGATAACTAGTAAATCCCGGTCAAAATAGACCGGGAGAGACCGGGATTTACCGATAGGAGTTCATCCCTCTATAAATAGATTTTCGGAATGTTTAGGTCATCAACTCATCATTATATATACATGTACAACAACAACATACCATAATAACCCACTGTGTACTACAAAATGATAAATGAAAAACCCCGAAGAGCGTTATATATTGACGGAGAAGGTTAATTCATTTGAAAATGTTTGCATTGCGAAATTCTCCAGTTCGCTATTCATTTGTACATATCGCGACATTTCATTTTTAATTAATAATCAAGCACCCTCATACTAATCGGAATGATTGGCTTTTATTATGACCGACTAAAAGGCTCGAGAAGTTGCTGTCGCCCTTTAACAAAATCTGATTTCATTCCATAAAGGGGCGCCGCGCTTCGGCGCGGACGCCAACAATATACATACAATTGTTGTTGTTGTAGTATTTAGTTTTGAACTTTTATATTTTTACCAAAAAAAACAACCTTTTTTTCCTTCGTTAAATTTCTCGTAATTCAATTGTATAATTTTAATATATTTTGACGAATGGGTCATGAAGTTATTCATGTGACTGCGTGTATGTGTTATTAGTTATTTTCTAAATAAACATTGTGACGTTAAACAGACGATGTAAAATGAAACTATATTCTGTTTTGAACTTATAGTTTATATATATATTAACTGTTGTTAAAGAAGTAATTAATATCAATGTTTCGCAATAAATGTATCTATAGAAACAACTATAAATACTACATGTATGATATAATTAAATAAGAAAAGTTTAGGCAAAAATAGCGTATATATCGACAATAAAGTGTCTGTCCATAAATGTGTATTTTTACCCTTAACTTCGATACCGCTTAAGCCGGTGCTGGGGTGGGTGTTGGAGCATGTATTATCTCTTATGAATCGACTCAATCGAAGTGAGGCTGCATTTTTTTTCTTTACTTTATTATTATTATTTTCATTCCCATGCGATGATCTTCCTTTCTTTAGTCATTACTTCCAAACTCATAAGTACACAGATGAAAGAATCTGTATTGTATATTTTTGTTAGAGTACATTTGACATGTTTGATATAACGTTAACGATTTTATAAATAAACTGTGCAGACACGGACGAAAAACATGTCTTGTGTGTAAGTTATTATTATTTCTCAAACTTGAGATAAGTAGCCAACTGTACTAAGAAAATTATGTTATATATATATATATATATATATTACTCAAAATAACTATCATCTTCAACCTAAATTATACTAAAAAAGGCAAACATAATTGATTATCAGTACGAAATTAAAGTTCTGAACAAAGTGTACCCTTTAAATCAGTGTATAAAATTAATTGTTCCAAATGAACAACTTTTTTTTAATTTTTCAGTACACTGGATTCAGGTGCCTACAGTAGCACCAAATGAAAACATCTCTGAAAGCTACCAGCAAATTTCACCAATGAATGCCATTGGCCAAGAAACACAACCTGCACAGGAATCGCCTGACTTATGCAAACAAGCAAGCGAATTAAACGGCAATAGAGAAGAGAATACAACTACGCCCTTAATTTTTAAGTTACTATAAAGTGTTTGTAATCAAAAGATATGGCATAGTTATGTTAAAAATGTTTACACGAGAGTCAATATTTTTTAAAGACTGAAATGATTATATAAAGAATGACTTGTATCAAAATGTTTTGTTTTCCCCACAGAAGAAAATGTGTCAATATATATCCACCACACTCCTCACTTTAGTGAAATTATTATTATAATTTATACAGTACATGTATATGTATATATAATTATGCTGATAAAACAATTTTCAACATTCGAAGAATATGTAAAATATGTACTGCAAATATTTGTACACATTATATGTAATCATATAGCATTCTTTTCTTACAGAAACATTTGACTTAGACTTTATAGAAAATGAATATTTATTACCTGCCTTTATTAACATGAAATGTTAAATTCAGTATATTAATACTTTTTGGAACTTACAAAATAAATATTAAAAATAAATAAATCTTAATTTGAGCATCATATTTATGATATAAAACCATAGAAATTTGTGTTACATGATCTTTAAAGAACGCAAGTTAGCCTCACAATAGCATGCGCATACAGGTAAGACCGGCAAACCTGATTATGTGATATAAAAATCTTAATCTGACTAATATTTATTATATTTCGTTTTGTTTCTACATTATTTTTGGTATGCTATTAGAAATAAAACTTATCAATTATGTTTGATAATATATGGTTAAATTAGACATAACCATGCTAGAAATACATTAAAAGGTAAAAAAAAATAACGATTTTCTTTGCATATTCACACCGTATTATCTGCGCCAGTGATGGCAGATCACTGCAGTGATGGCAGATACCAGAAATGTACCGCTCGGTACAGGTAGGTTATAAATTTGGTTGGTATTATTAAATTACACAAATACGACCCATTTCATTGCTATGAAATTATTGTCTATTGACTGGAGAATCTATTAGGTAATTTTGGACTCGTTTTTCCTGTTTTAAGACTATTTTGAGCATGTTCAAAGTGACAGCTTCGGAAAAATACGTGAAAATGTCACTTTTCTTTTTGTTCAAAATATCTCAAGTTTTAACTAAATGGCAGGATTTCGTGTTATTAATATAGACGTTCATCCATAGGGGTCACGCAAGCCAAATATCTACCCTGTGAGTCTTTTCTTGAAAGTTTTACAGACGTTCAATCTGGTCCGGTCGAAGAAAAAATGCTGCCGTTGTAGGCAGATACTTATTTTAAATCTTAGGAACATAGATAATTCATAGTTTAGCCCATTAGGGATTTTATATAAACGGTCAGCAAGTTCGTTTATTATCAGAAATGGTCTATAAACATGAAGATTATTAGTAAATCGAGTCATGTGAATCTAGTCAATGATAATGAAGGAAACATTAAATATTGGAGTATTGAAAATTTGATGATTACCGTCACTTATAAACATAATTCCAGTAGTTAGGAGCGTAGATGAATAAAACAAATGTCGTTTTAGAAGTTATAACTAAATGCATAATGCTAGTTTGATATTAACATTTCAAAAAAATCAAACAGAAAAATATGTACTAAGATTTTAAGAAAGGTAAACAGAAGAATCAACTATTAATTTACATGTTTTGTGCCATTAATGGCTGATTTTGGGGTATTCATCACTATATTTCTTCTACCTTACTAACAGTGTAAGGGCTATTTTTGTACATTATGACTTATTTTGTAATTAACGTGAATTAAAAATGCCATTTGCAATGTGTAAATTACTTTTATTGTTCACATCACAGTATTTTACTTTAAAGTAATTCATGTTCAAAATTTCCATGTAATTAAGTATGAATCTGAAGGCATGTTGCTTTAATAATCTTCACGTGCCTATCTTGTGAAACTTTATTTACCTTTCCACAAATAAGAACAGAAGGAAGTTTGATTTCTTAAGTACGCATATTTCGTGAACGCCCTCGTCGATTGATCATAAAACATTTTTCATTCGATTATTTCTTTCGGTAGAATGATGATCAAAAAGTGGACAGGATATATTATTTTGTTTTGTTGCATGGGTAAATTTACTTTTATATGGCTGTTTTAATTTTGAGAAAAGTCTAATATTTAGATATTTCCTATCGTTTGACGCTATCAAGTAATTGCACAATTTTTTTTAGTTTTTTCCTGTACATCTACATTTTGTTAATCTAATATAAATGTTTTAATTTAATTTTGCAAACGTTTTGAAAAATATGGATTTTTCAAATCATACACTTGTTCCATTTAAGATACCACATAACATGTAATTCATTTTAAAAGTTAATTTAAAACATAAATATTGTGTATGACGGGTCATTAGTCATGGAAATATATTATGTAAATATAAACGATATGTGTATCTACTGTGTATAATCAGAATGACATCAGAACTCCCACCTCTTTATTTATTGCCGAATAAGATGGCAGTGTTTCAAATGAATCGTTACAAATTTATTTTCAAATTGGTAAATCAGCAAACTATTAATCAGTCTAGAAATCGATTGTTTATAAAAGAAAAAAATAATTTCAAATACTAAATTATTTAGTGTTTATTAGTAAGCATTTACCAAATAAAGGTGGTTTTGACCAATTTAATTTTGTAATATAACGTCACATAATATAACGTCACTTAACCAAAATGACGTAATGTAAATTACTTCTACACAGAATGTAGTTCAACATATTTGTTTATTTTTATAAACTCTCCTTTTTATTAGCATGTTAGATATAAAATAGTATAAATTTCCAGTCCTGTGGGGGATATAAAAAAATAATAATATTGCATTCTATTTTTCTTACTTTAACAATATAATAAAATTGTGTATGTAGACAAGGCACAAATATATTAAAATGAATAATGTTTTGAACCTATTATAATATGGATTTTAACAAGACCTCTATCAAAGTTAATATATGTTCTTAATCTTTTTATTCCATATTCAACGATTTTACACTAGTTATCATTCATGTTTGTTTTTGTTTTTTTTTATAATGTGTATCGTTGCATGTATTTATTTTTAAATTGTTTGCTTACCGGCATTTAAGTGGTACTTGAAATGTTATTTATGTGCATTCTTATAGTTATATACAAATGTACCCATAGAAATGATATTAGTCATATTCAGTCGAAGTCAAACGTTGAATTAATAATTGAGTTTGCTTTTGGCGTAATTTTAAAAGATATTTGTGTACGTGCTCACGTCTACATGTATGTGAGTGTAAAGCGCGTGCGTGCTTGTGTGTACACGTGTACGCGCGTGTATGTGCGTTTATAATTTTCAAATTATTTAAGACAAGACAAAATAAAAATAAAACAAATTTATACAATTACTTACACCATTTAACACTGCAATTTTGCGGGTTCTAACAAATACTGTAATATTGCGACTTCTAATAATTGTTCAGCCAATATACAGATTCATGATGACCGAAGATAATTTTGTTTTACAGAGACGGTGCCCGGGAAACTGTGTACATACTATGAAACTGGTGACGACTTCATAACGAGAACCAAATTCTGCGACATTGATTGCTGTAGTGATATATATTCCTCATTATGTTGTGACAAGCCTACTACGACATCTTCCGGGTACTGTTGCTTTTTTTAACCTTCTTCTTCTTCATCTCCTTCTTCTTCTACACCTTCTTCTCCTTCTTCTTCTACTTCTACTTCAGTTCTAACAATATTTACATGTATCTATTTGTTTTTTTTGAAGTATATTACAAATATATTTATACAATTTCACTTTACACTTATATTATTTTACATTGTGTAAATTGTAAATGCGTGATTGATATTGGAAATCATTTACGACAGTTTTATTTGATTTTTTTTTACATTTTATTGTTCTACAAAACTTTTAGTAATGCTATTAAAATCAGATGAGTACATACTTATAAATCTTCATACGCCATAAATCTTCAGAAACACCCTATAATATTGCAAGAAAAAATGAAATTTGGTAAACTTCCGTGTCTAGTGTTTTATTGACTTTAATAAAAGCTTTGTCACATACGCGTGCCGCTTTGAAACTCGGTAAAAGTGATTGTCCACGGCCGTGCAAAAATTGGTTAAGATTAAGCAAAACTGAAAATATCCGTGGAACAATTCCTCTTAAATTAACGCAAATTTAACAAGCATACTGCAATTACATACTATTTGTGAAATTTAAAATAAAGAATTCTAGTAATGATACGGGTACTTTTATGTGATCAATATATTTGTTGTAACAAGCAATACGTTTTTCGTTAGCGCATTTGATTGAATCTGTGTATAGTCATCACATTCTGTTTTCCATGTTAGTTCTGACGCAAATTTAACAAGCATATTGCAATAACATATAAATATACTATTCTGAAATTTAAAATAAAGAATTCTTGTGATTAGTTAATTCTATACTTATAATTTTTATGTGATAAATATTTTTGCTGTAACAAGCAATACAAATTTCGTAAGCGCATTTGATTGAATCTGTGTATAGTCATCACATTCTGTTTTCCATATTAGTTCTGACGATGGCTTCCGTATCGACATTATTACTCTGGCATGTGTCGTTGCGGTTATTCTTCTTGTATTGACTGCAATTTGCTGCTGCTGTTGTTGCTTCAAGAAGTCAAGAGGACAGCAAGGACACGTCATTCAACCGGCTCCAACTGTAACAGGTACTTGTATATCCATTATTTTACTATCATGACGTTTATATCATTCATAGACATGGCTACTGCAAATCTCTCTATATACAATGTATCTATAATACCGCACTTTTGCAACGTCGCTTTTCATTAGATAATCGTGACGTTTATATAGTTTTATATACACGGCTATTGTCGACTCATGAAGAAATCTTACTTTTTTTCTCTAAAAAATGAAAATGATGCTTGCTGTATTATAAATTCGCTATAAAGATTGTTGACAGGTTATATGGCCGTATATAAACGACTATTTCCAATATAACCCTCGCCTAGCGGCTCGGGTTATATTTACAAATAGCCGTTTATATAGGGCCATAAAATAAAACTGAAAAGTGTTATAAAATAGTCGTACAATTTTCTGATAAGTTATATGCCTATGCATAAACTATTGTTTGCTATACAATCGATTCATCTGAATTATGGATTGTAAAAAAACACTAATAAATTACTACATGAAAATCTGCATGACTTTACTTGCGAATATTGAAGAAATAAGTTGCATTAGTTTCCCTTGGAAACAATTGAAACAACAATATTTTTTAAAAATTGCAGACTCGGTTTGATTCAGTTCATGAGAGATAATGTACACGTGTAACTTCTCTCACGGGTCATAGCACCGGCTTAAGTGGTAGTCACAAAACATAATTTATAATTCATCATTTAGCATAAAAGGCAACTTTTAGACTATAAAATTTGTTTGTAACAATTCACCAATATTACCATTCAACACATTTTAGAATTAGTTGATAAGTTAATTAAAATGATTTCTATGGAGCTGAGATATGGGGTTTCCTTAAAGCTCCTTTTATTTTGTGAATCTTTACTGAAGTCTTTCCAATCTCTTAACAGAAGTATTTTGTTTATATAGCAAATTTAGTAATTTGATTTTTTATAAATATCACATTTTTCGGGATTTTTTAAAGGGTTAAAAATCACGAGTAATAAGGAACGGAAACACAATTAAATGGTTTACTTACGCAGGCTCGGAGACATAGATAAAACAAATCACATTTAAAGGCTCATTATGTCTCATGCTTTTTTATACATTGTATTTCTTAAACGCTTTTTTAACTTTGGTGTTCTTTTATAGTATCCAAAATGTTACTAATTAGTCAATTATGTGAACCATCTTTTTCATCTGTTGCTTTTTGGCAATAAGTAGTTATAGTGCACAAGCATTTCGTATGGAAGTCAAAATAGATTATTTTTTACATTTTGCTACTTTTACGACAAATTATTTCACATTTATTTAATTTTGTTTTAGGAAACAAGCATGTTACATTTTCTAAAACCATTATTTGAACATTATAAAATTCACGTTTGCCCTTTTATTTCTGAGGCATAATGTGCCTTTAAATGTATTTTGTTCACACTGATTTTTACTTTACGTTACGCATTTTGGTGTAACAAAAAACAACAACAATGGTTTTGCAATAACTGTTACAATTATTTTTTTATTTTGGCCTTCAGAAACTGAAGGTAAACAAATCTTGGTAATCTTAACACAATTATAGTCATGGTTATTTCCCTTGAATGTTTAATGTTTTGGTTTACGTCACACCGACACAGAATTAATAATAATAATGTCTTTAAAGATTTAGAGAAGGTAACACATTAAGAATATACAACAATAGTTATATATATATTTTTGGCCTCTGACATATAAAAACAACATCAACAGAACATGCATAGATTAAAACATGTATAATATGTGTAATTTTTAGAAGATAACTCATATACTTCCGATAGGCACTCTAACAGCGCACTTTGGATTCAAACGTACTTTGGGGTCCGACCCCAACGTGCGTTACACTTCGCACCACACTTTTGGGTCCAACGCACTTTGGGTCAAAGTCGAGAAATTGACCCCAAAGTGCGTAATTATGCTACATATCAACGCACTTTGGGTTCAAAAGTTCTGAAGGTGTCAACTGAGTTCTGCTTAAATACTGAGTTCTGACTTATTTTCAATCTGCGACATTGAAATATTTGAGATGGGGTTCAAGATGGCGGTTTGATGCTTAAGTGATAAATGTTTCATTTCAATTTTATCACTTAAAATATATAAATACTACATTTATGACATAATTAAATTAGAAAAGTTTAGGCAAAAATAGCGTATATATCGACAATATAGTGTCTATCCATAAATGTGTATTTTTACCCTAAACTTTCGATACCGCTTAAGCCGGTGCTGGGGTGGGTGTTGGAGCATGTATTATCTCTTATGAATGGACTCAATCGAAGTGAGGCTGCATTTTTTTTCTTTACTTTTTTATTATTATTTTCATTCCCATGCGATGATCTTCCTTTCTTTAGTCATTACTTCAAAACTCATAAGTACATAGATGAAAGAATCTGTATTGTATATTTTTGTTAGAGATACATTTGACATAACGTTAACGATTGTACTTATAAACTGTGCAGACACGGACGAGAAACATGTCTTGTGTGTAAAATATTATTACTACTCAAATTTGAGATAAGTAGTTAACTGTACTAAAAAATGATGTTATATATATATCTATAGCTCAAAATAACTGAGCCGTGTCACGACAAAACCAACATAATGGGTTTGCGACCAGCATGGATCAAGACCATCCTGCGCATCCGCGCAGTCTGATCAGGATCAATGCTGCTCGCTTTCCAACCCTATAACAAGTAGAGAAACTGATAGCGAACAGCATGGATCCTGATCAGACTGCACGGATGCGCAGGCTGGTCTGGATCCATGCTGGTCGCAAACGCACTATGTTGGTTTTGTCATGACACGGATCAATTTTACTATCATCTTCAACCTAAATTATACTAAAAAGGCAAAAGTTATTGATAATTAGTACCAAATAAAAATTCTGTGCGAAGTTTACCATTCGAATCAGTGTATAACATTCAATGCTTCCAAATGAATAGTTGTTTTTTTTAATTTTTCAGTGCACTGGATTCAGGTGCCTACAGTAGCACCAAATGAAAACATCTCTGAAAGCTACCAGCAAATTTCACCAATGAATGCCATTGGCCAAGAAACTCAACCTGCACAGGAATCGCCTAACTTATGCAAACAAGCAAGCGAATTAAACGGCAATAGAAAAGAGAATACAACTACGCCCTAAATTTTTAAGTTACTATAAAGTGTTTGTAATCAAAAGATATGGCATAGTTATGTTAAAAATATTTACACGAGAGTCAATATTTTTCAAAGACTGAAATGATTATATAAATTTGAATGACTTGTATCAAAATGTTTTATTTTCCCCACAGAAGAAAATGTGTCAATATATATCCACCACACTCCTCACTTTAGTGAAATTATATAATTTATACAGTACATGTATATGTATATATAATTATGCTGATAAAACAATTTTCAACATTCGAAGAATATGTAAAATATGTACTGCAAATATTTGTACACATTATATGTAATCATATAGCATTCTTTTCTTACTGAAACATTTGACATAGACTTTATAGAAAATTAATCTTTATTACCTGCCTTTATTAACATGAAATGTTAAGTTTAGTATATTAATACTTTTTGGAACTTACAAAATAAATATTAAAAATAAATAAATCTTAATTTGAGCATCATATTTATGATATAAAACCATAGAAATTTGTGTTACATGATCTTTAAAGAAAGCAAGTTAGCCTCACAATAGTATGCGCATACAGGTAAGACCGGCAAACCTGACTATGTGATATAAAAATCTTAATCTGACTAATATTTATTATATTTCGTTTTGTTTCTACATTATTATTGGAAATAAAACTTATCAATTATGTTTGGTAACATAACCATGCTAAAAATACATTAAAAGGTAAAAAACGATTTTTTTGCATATTCACACCGTATTACCGGCGCCAGTGATGGCAGATCATTGCAGTTATGGCAGATACCAGAAATTTACCGCTCGGTACAGGTAGGCTATAAATTTGGTTGGTATTATTATATTACACAAATACGACCCGTTTCATTGCTATCAAATTATTGACCATTGACTGGAGAATCTATAAGTTAATTTTGGACTCGTTTTTCATGTTTTAAGACTATTTTGAGCAGGTTCAAAGTGACAGCTTCGGAAAAATCCGTGAAAATGTCTCTTTTTTTTGTTCAAATAAATTTCAGCCTTTATATGTCATAAAGCGATGAACATTTTTTCCTCGAGAAAATAAAGTCATATGCTAGCAAATGAATATCCACTTACTGAAGTTACAGCTGTAATATGCAAATGGTGATATGTCTTGAAAAGGGAGTGAATTATGCGCTGCTAAACTTAAGATACATATGGTATTTTATGCATGTAACTGACAGACACAACAAATCAAGCAAATATGCATGAATATAAAAAAATAAATTTCTGCATGTTTATTGCTCTATTTATAGTGCACTTTGGTCGTACTGAATAATCACATTTTGTATTGTATCTGCGTGTTGCTAAAAAGCTTTTTCGATGCACATTTCGCATTAATAACTTTTCAATCTTGTGAAACAATTAGAAATGATAGTTTAACGTCTCAATTCCGACTAAAAGGGCGCAAAGAATAGAGGAATGAAAAAAGATTGACCTTGATTTTCTGTCAGAATGTTAGCCACTTCCATGGTATTTCTGTCATCGACGGTAGCATTTAAAATAAGTATCTGCCTACAACGGCAGCATTTTTTCTTCGACCGGACCAGATTGAACGTCTGTAAAACTTTCAAGAAAAGACTCACAGGGTAGATATTTGGCTTGCGTGACCCCAATGGATGAACGTCTATATTAATAACACGAAATCCTGCCATTTAGTTAAAACTTGAGATATTTTGAACAAAAAACAGACATTTTCACGTATTTTTCCGAAGCTGTCACTTTTAAACTGCTCAAAATAGTCTAAAAACAGAAAAAACGAGTCCAAAATTACCTAATAGTATCTCCAGTCAATGGACAATAGTTTCATAGCAATGAAATGGGTCGTATTTGTGTAATATAATAATACCAACCAAATTTATAACCTACCTTTACCGAGCGGTAAATTTCTGGTATCTGCCATCACTGCAGTGATCTGCCATCACTGGCGCCGGTAATACGATGTGATATTTTCCATCTCAATTTCTTAACATTATTAAGTTTACCAGCGCGCAGTAAATACGTGTTGTGTATCCATCGGACCATGTATCCGTTATTTCACAATTTTACTGTTGGTCTGAATCGGTCATTTCTATATTTATCTATGTTTAAAGTTCGGTGAAGATAATATTAAAGTGTTTACTTGTTAAACTGTCTTCTGTCATGTACGTTTTTAGTCGTGCATCATTTATAATACTAAATCGAAGCGGAAGTTTTAAATTCTTCTTGTTATCGGGCATTAAGATAAAATATTAGCGTCGCTATACTTCGTTCAAAGTGGATTTAAACAGAAAACATGGCGGATAAAAACTTCATCGCGTTTATATTATGTTGCTGTGTAACAGGTAAATATATTACCATTTTAATGTTGTGAAGTTCAGTATAGGACAGAGTAGAATATTTAAATTCATCATCTATTTAAGAATGTACAACCTTTTTTCATAATATTCACCCAAATTATAAGTTACCTGTCCCTGAATGTTTATAATAAAATCTCCTAGTTTTAAATTTAGAACAATTCATTTAAAGTTTTAGGAATACTAGTGGCAAAGGCTTAATTATAACGTTCGGTTACAGCAGATTAAAGGCTATGGGCGGTTTATCAAAATTAATTTTATGTATTTGATTTGTAATAGGATTCGAAATTCACAAAAAACGGGCTTATATCCTAAACTTTCCTAAGGGATTGTATAGACCTGACACTTAACCAACCTAGATACTGTCTCACATAAAAGTAAATGGACTATATTTACATTTATTAATAAGCAATAACAAAATGAAATTATAATGTATTTAAATACGTAATTAGTCTATGATACATGTAACATGAACAACCATTTATTGTTTCATTTAGTAAAAATGACATTCCATTGCATATATTCGTGTATAGATATACCTAGATTTACAGTTTCTACCTTTAGTATAAACGCGTTAACATAAAAGGGCTGGTAATAAATTATTCATCCTTAAAATAAAATCTAGGTCTATCTACCTGAAGAGAGCGTGATATTTTTTTTCAAGATTGAGTGAGTTTCGTAATACAGGTATTCTACGGTTGGGTTATTTTCCATTAGTCACTATGACACCAAAGTAAATGTAGTATAGTGTTATTTATTATCGAAATATTTTTTTCGTATAATACTTACGGCACCTGTTGCACGTGACAAAAATGTCCACAAGATACATAGACACTGTACATGTAAATACCCGTGTTTAATCTTAATAAAAAATCAAGAAAATAACGTAGAAAAATGTTTAATATAGGATATCACGGTGAAGAAACAAATTGTGTTCAAATAATCACGATTTTGTCCTTGATATTATTTGTACAGTGCAAAGTGATCAGCAATAAATAGCCATTGAGTTTAATGTTGTTGTGTACTTTAAATTAGACAAGTGCTTATACATAGCAATACTTCCATTTACAACTATAATTTTGATGTTGTACTTTATTAGAAATAATGATATTTTTATTTAGAGATTGTAACACGTTAAGATTTACATATATACAAAATAATTATACAGTCATATCTTATTTCCATTATGGCCTTCTAAAAGTAGAGGGGAAAACCAAACAACAGTTACAATAATACATCCATAAAGGGACACAGTATAAATAGACTAAACATGTAAAACAAACCTGTAAATTCTAGAATAAGATAACTCAACTTGTATATTTAACTGAGTCATCAGTAATTGACTCTTTCCTATGCTTTCGACAGACACTAAACTATTAACCATTATAAAGCTAAGATAAACCGTGATAGAAAACGGACAGGTGAGTAACCAATGGCGGGACAATACCAGTCTTGCCTGAATTTACCTGCAGCCTGAGTTTGTTACTTCCAAATGAATCGGTAAATATCGGCTAATTCCGGGAATAATCGTACAAATAACCGAAGCCACTTCCGCTTTCAACCTATAATGTGAAGACATATCTTTCTAGTTATAGATAAACGCCTCTTCATTTCTAGAAATAAATCGTAGCAATAATTTATGTTTTAAGCCCCCACTGTCATTACAACCAGGACGTAACAATAAGCTGTCGAAAAAGAGCCGATTTGTTTCCTTTACACGGGCAGTGCTGATATTTATCTTTAAACTTCCTCGTTTTAAATTTCAGTTGTAGCAAGTGGGTCATATTGTACAAAGTACCATTCGGGGTCCATATTTGATGATACAATATACTGCCCATCACTTTGTTGTGGTGACAAATACAATCGATATTGCTGTAATAGGTAGGTTTTTCATTTTATAGTACAAAATTGCTTCCCTATGACATTCAATCAATTGAAACATAAAGTGTAAATGAGTTACTTAGAACTCAGTGATATAAACGGATATTTATGCAACCTTTTAAGACTCAAGTCAAGTAGCCTGCAATGACTTTCTGTCTGGCCCCATGGTAACAATTGGTTAAGAACTTTGATCAAGATCAGCATTTTATTTAAAATATCTCCTTTTATTCTATAATGTGATACCTAAATTTGCAAACTGTATAAGATACGAATATTTCAGTGTCGAAAGATGAAGTTTTTATTTTCAATATAAATATTAAAATATGTCCTCGACTTCCTTTTCCTTTTGAATTAATAGTTTGAACTATATGAAATAAAAACTGTTTATAGTGACTAATCACGATGCATTTTCAGAGTGATTCAAAACGACGATCTTTATCTTTAAATCCCTCTTTTTTGTGATCTTAACCCTTTACTTCATATAGACGTGTTTTGACGGCTTTTCGAACCCCCCCCCCCATTTTTAGGCCTCATTCAGTGAAAAATTACCATATTTAGGCCCCAAACACTGTTTTTCGTTTGCAAAATGTTGCTAAAAAAAAAGAGATAACTTTTTCGGCGCCGCCCTAATCAAAAAGGTACATAAGGGGTTTGTCAGAAGGGGGATGTGCCCCCTTCTCTTTTGAGGGATTTGAAAGAGGGCGGTAGTCCCCCTCATCGCCAAGAAAATTTTGGACATGTGAGTGGCTAAAAATGACCCAAGGTAAATCATAAGGTAATGTGTAACCAACGCCGAAAAGGCTTTAACTCTATCTCGATCCATTGAGAAGTTGCAGCACTTTGAACTCAATTTTGATGGAAATAATCAACGCAAAATGGTGATTTTTGGTAATTTTGAGATGTCTCCTCGTTGCCATGGTACATTTGTGTAACAGGAGAATTAAGACAGATCTTGTCGGTACATATGCAATGGTTCAGTCAACATTTGTGCCAAAATTGATTAGTATTGAAGCATTTTCAATTGTTTCATAGCAGTTTGAACTTGTAACAGGAGGCTTTTCAATGACAACGGCCATTCTTCACAATATGCTCATGAGGGAAAGGGTAAACACATTGAGATATTGTCTTTCTTAAGTTGTATATCAAACTGAAAAGTGTTCTGTAAAACAGGCACGTTTTAATATTAAACGTTGCAAAATGTGTACGTGTTTCCCTCTATAATCCATATAAGGAATCCGGAACGCAGTGAAATTAAAACCAGGATCGCCTTTACCTTGATCACGTAGCCAATATGCCAGACGACCGCAAAGTTTTTTTTATTTATTTATTTATTTACATGATTTTATTTATTTATTTTTATTCATTTTTATTTATTTATTTATTTATTTGTTTTTCAATGTTCTATTCAGTAATACTGGGCTCATAGTCGGCATTGTATTCGGGGTACTTGGTCTGATAGCTATTGTGGTAACAGTGCTGGTCGCCGTGTTCTGTTGTTGCCGGAAATCAAGAGGTCAGCAAGGTCAAGTTTGCCAGCCAGCTGGAGTTGTAACAACAAGTATGTCAATTTAGATGGGTTTTATTCTTGCTTTTTTTTTATTTATAAAATATAAAGTTTGTTTTTATAAAACTACCTTTTAGCTCAAAGCTGATTGGTCAAATGATCTAACGTTATGTTATCTTGTAAAATAAATATAGCTATTAACCACGTAAGGCGTGCACCCAAGATCTTTATCAAATTTGTGTATACATATTACAGTGTAATAAATTGGGTTTATCTTGGTTGAGACATATTAAATGAAGTTTACCACGTTTTTTTTTTCGTTTTTTTTTAAATTACTTTTAACTAACTTAGCATTCAATTGCTAACAAACTATTTAGTAATATCAAAGTTTGACTAGCAGCATATTTGAAAATTGAAACAATACGTTTATATTACTGAATATATATAATGAAATTATTATGTCCTTTATTACCTATATACGGTACATAAAGATATACACATATACACAAAAGTAAGTTAAAGCAAACTCGCTAAAACCTTAAGTGTAGGTCTGTGTTTATTAGCTGGCATTTACAAAATAAAATTGGTTTGAACAACTTAAATAGGTAAATGCTTACCAATTTAGTGTTTGAAATTATTTTAATAAAACTACCGATTTACTAGACTGATTATATCTAGCTGTATTTACCAAAGTAAATGAGCCGCGTCACGACAAAACCAACATAATGGGTTTGCGACCAGCATGGATCCAGACCAGCCTGCGCATTAGTTTCTCTACTTGTTATAGGGTTTGTAAGCGAACAGCATGGATCCTGATCAGCCTGCGCGGAAGCAAACCCATTATGTTGGTTTTGTCATGACGCGGCTCAAATGTTTTATGATTCATTTGAAATATTGCAATGCTATTGGACAGAAATAATATTTCAAACACTAGTTAAGGTATTATTTAGACAAGTACATGTTTTATGATTGCTTGATGCCAATGTGTATCAATTAAGAAGTTCAGATGTATACTCAAACCATGCTAATTTTTACGCAGCAACAAAAATGCAACAGAAACTATGTGTACAAGTACATATATATTATGAAGCCGAGAACATATTTCGCTCAAAATAGTTTATTAACATCCTCTTTATTGTAAATTTTACTTCCCATATAGCTAAGTAGATCTTGTTTTTCAAAATTTAAAATGGATGAATCATATCCATTGAAAATGAAACATAACAGTGGCCATTAAAGGAGATTATTATCAATATAACATTGTCTATTTCTACGGGGAAAAAACAACATCCCGACTTACATATACATGTATAGCGAACAATGATTTTTAAAATTTAATGACCTTGCAAATATTAGTCACAAAATGATGACTACATGGATGTGAATAATAATCAATTTAACAAAAAAAAATTAAATGTAAAAGAAACAAAATACAGAGTTTGTGTTATGTCTATATTAGGAACTAGAAATCAGAATGACACCCGGCGTGTGCTTTTATCATACAGTTAAGGGCATTCTTAAATATTGTGAGACTTCGGCATATTGTTGCTTTTTCACGTACCTTATCAAAATGAATGTGTCAATATGAAAAAGAAAACAACATATATTTTGTTAAATCAATGCAAGCGTACAATACGGAAAGTTAATGATTACCGAATGTACATTAGAACGTTATTCTGACGAGATCATCTTTCAAGTTAACAGATGTTACACAAACGCTGTACAATCATTACCTTAGTCAATTACATTTAGATTTACACAAATTATATTATTTTATATCTTACAGCTCCGTATTATGGTGTTCAGACGACCACGGTAACAGGTTACGGACAAACCGGATACACAAATGCTGGTTTCCCGCAGCAAATGCAGGCAACGAATGTTGCTGGTCAAGTCAATGACGGACAAAAATGGCAACAACCACCGCCGCCGTACAGTGCCGTTAATACAAGCTAGTGCAATCTACAAAAAATCAACTTTTATTTCGGTGCCTAAGATAAACATGTATAGCAAACATTGTTTATATAATCGTTAGTGCGTTTCACGATTGTATACTTATAAATATATTTCAAACATGTTTAAATATAAGTAAATGTATAAATGTATAAAATGCGCGCAGATCTGATTTTGATTAATCAAATGTACTTTCTTTGTTTTGTTTTTTTTTTCTTTATTTAAATGATGAAATCCAGTTTGCTATTATATTTACTTAAGGTACATTCCTCCATTTTTTTACTCGCTCAAAAATTATGAAGAATATTATTTTATTATAAGCAGAAAATGTTGACATTTTTGATCTTCATATTTGACATAGAAGCTTTAATTAGATAAAGAGTGCTTTATCGTAGCTCCATATATTTAGGAATTTTATCACAGTTGTTTCCCTTGTCGTATTTTACATTCATTTATCTTGAAATTCCTTAACACATTATTTACATAATAATTATAGTGTTCCTATACGGATTTCATTTTTCTTAATTATTTTCATATCATTATTTTTTATAATGTGTTATTTTTCATGCTGAAGAAAATAATAGTCTTAAAAAGTGAAATTTGCATAATAGTATTTTACATGAAATGCTTTTGTTTTATCTTGACACGTCAAGTTGATAATAATTTAGAGCTATTAAGTGATATCTTATTACAGTAAGAATAAAAGCAATAAGGTAATTAAATAATGAAATGTATAAAATGGTGATTTTTTTATAAATTAAAAATGGTGATAATTTTTTTTTCAGTTACTGAAAGGATGGTCATCATATCATACATGTATAAATTAATATCCGCATTACTAACGCAATATTTGATTGATACTGTTGTTGTTGTTTTTTTAATTTACTGCCTTAACCCGCAATACATTTGATAACCATTGCAAAATTCGTAATTATACTATTTGGCGTCGCTTTTCTTGTGGTTAAACATATCGTTCACGCAAATCTGTCACATTTTTAAAAATTATATTTCAGGTTTTTAAACACAAAATTTTAATATCTTATGTTAATATCTGTAGATCTTGTAAACCGGTCGCGTTTCATCACTTTTTTCATTTAGAAATTATTGTGAGCCTTTTAAGGCTGGGTGCAATATAAAAAGTTCACAGACGGAATATATCGGAGTTGTCTAAATTTATATGTACTTCTTTAATACATAATTCTGCTGTTTTGTTTTGTTTTGTAACTAAAATGGTTAATAAAGTGATATTTTATTAGTTTTGCATGTGTCAATTATTTAGTCATTTGAAACAGCTATTGTAAACACTACGATTCTGTCCAAGGAATACCGTAGGCCTATACATTGAATATAACATATTCTTCACATCATTTCTGTTTATTTAAGTACATGTAAAATAATGTTCTTTTATAAGGAAAGAATCAGTATGAAATGCAAGTAGCTTTAAAACATTTTAATAATAAGCCTTTTTACTTTATTCAGACGAAGCTCGTATTTCTTTCCTTACTTTCTTCTCAGATACTAAAAATTGAGCCGCGTCATGACAAAACCAACATAATGCGTTTGCGACCAGCATGGATCCAGACCATCCTGCGCATCCGCGCAGCCTGATCAGGATCCATGCTGTTCGCTATCAGCTTCTCTACTTGTAACAGAGTTGGGTTTGCGAACAGCATGGGTACTGATCAGACTGCGCAGGCTGGTCTGGATCCACGCTGGTCGTTAACCCATAATGTTGTTTTGTCATGAAACGGCTCAAATGATTTTAATGATATCAAACCGAAACGTTATATTTGAGAGTTGCAACAAGATGTATTTTTTTTTTTACAAATAATGACGTCATATAGTTAAAAATACCCTCTCGCGTGACAAAATATATAGGTAATATGAAAAGTGTCGAAAGAAGAATAGATCATCTCAAGTTCTTTACCATCATACCCGAAATGAAATGAGTGGATTAAATAAGCGGAAATAAATTCGCTTTAAAACAGCACGCTTTATCATTTTTGCTCTTTTCATGAAGTTTTAGATATTATTTTGAAATTATAGTGAAATAAATAATAAACATATTACATAAATTTGTGCGAGCAAAGTGCATTTGCATTAATTTTGTCAATACACTATTTTGTATAGTTTTGAGGGCTTCGTAGTCCTCTTTTGGTATACCCTTCAATAAATGGACTATGACTGATCTTAATTCATCTCTATCCATATATCGGCGACATGTAAAATGTTAGTCAGGAAGAGAGAAAAACTGTCACAATCACGGGTGGGGGGGGGGGGGGGTCACATCAATCACGGGCGGATCACGTGCCTTGGTAAAGTAATACACACGAGTAATGGCGACTTCTGAGCCTCGGTCAGTTCATTATTTTGATAGATTTAGGTAAGAAACGTTTCCTTAATCCAGACTAGACCTGGCCTATCATATGCACGGTAACTTTCTACAAATATCAATACCAAATGCATTGTCTTACGTTTTATGGTTTTCGAGAACATTGTTTGAAATGTGTGAAAACTTTGTACTATAATGAATGAAAATAAGTTTTCTTCCACAAAATGAACGATAATATTGACAACTTTTATCGTAGGAGGCCATATAAAATGTTGCTAGAGGATATGTAGAGTAAAAAGGTTCTTTGCAGATGTATCGTAAGTAAAACGAGCAATGTCTGGATAGTAGTCAGACGAAAACAAAAAGTAAGTTTCACGCATGTTTTCTAATATTTACATATACATTGAAATTGAATAAATATGTATTTGTAAAAGGTTAAACAAATCTTATTTCAATTCAGGATCACATATTTTCTGTTGTTTCGAAAAAAGGAATGCTTAACCAGTATTTTCAATTTAAAGACCCTTTATGTCCCAGGTGACCTGTTATAGCGTCTAAATTGACCTGAAACATTCGTCTTAACATACCTACTCACAAATAACATAACACAATGTTGCAGTGGACACGACTTCGATAGGCCTTATTGCTGAAAGAATACATTATGCATTTATGAATATGCATACATATTGAATTGAATATCTCAATAAATGCACTTGCATTAAACTTAATACTTCAATATTTTTTTGATATTTAATGTTACACGCTCCTAACCAATTTGTGGTTATATTTACAACATTTATAACATTAACCACAGAATCTGATGGATATTCATCTAAGGAATGGCAGCCGTCCACATATTCCACATTCATGCACATAATCCCAGCATCGCCAAATAAAAAGAACGCCTGGCTGAGCGATTTGAATCGTAAATTCCTCCGAATATAGGATTTACGGAGTACGTCCTATCCTGAAAATTTAGGTTAAAAAGCTAGTTTTCTTACGTTAGATGATAATTATGACCATAACTTAATTATAATAATGTATCATAAAACAAAATATTACAGCTTTAACAAAAATGTATTTATAAATAAATATACATGCCATCATTTAAATACAAACCACTTTTCAAAAAGTCCATGAAGTTGGCACCTTATAAAAAGATTTTTAATTTGAAAGGACAACCCCAACCCCGCTCTATTTAACGCCTAATACAGCCTTAACCACGTGGCCGTTATGCACAAACGATTCGTGCATTTGTGATTCCCGCCATGTTAAGACATATGTTGTGCACTATACTATGTAACGTACAGAACTATCGTTACGGTGATTGGAGCTCTATAACATTTTGCTACTTTATTGATCATGTATTATTTTCACATTTAGTGCTAATTTCGTCAGGTAATAAGTGGAGCGGTGGCCTAGTGGTTAAGGTATCTGCCTCTCAACCCAGAGATCATGGGTTCAAGCGCTACTCGGGGGACGACCATGTTCCTCATATGACAACAGTACTGGTTGGTTCCAAGAAGCGGACTCTAATGTGATATATATAAGTTGCAAGAACTTGTTTCGCAATCGAGCTTAAATAATTATGCTTCAACCATGCAAGTAAAAAGCATTAAACGATCATTTAAACATTACAAAAATTTACTTGTATATAAACATTATAAAACCCATTATTGTCCTTTCTATAAGGGAAAATAAATATTTGTTTCTGTGGAAGTTTCCTTTAAAATATAAAATGATTTAATATGCATTTACCAGACCGTTCATTCGTAATATGTTTATGTAACAAATATTCGATTCCGTAATTATAATATTAATTAAGCTCGTTGCGAAGTGTTATTTTCTAGTTGAATGGTTTTTTGGCAGGGAAATATTTTAGTCGCGCATCGTTTAATTTAAATCAAAGCGGAAGTTGTTATTTTATCTTATTACCGATCACGTGCATTTAATATCATCGCATGTTAAACAACAACAAAAAATGTCGGATATTACCTTCATCACATTTTTACTATGTTGTTGTGTTCCGGGTAAGTTTATTTCGAAATATTATCTCATAACAGTGACTCAGTCTTGGAACATAGAATAACTCACCCCGAATTCGCTGGAATATGGGAACGTCTGAAAGTTCAAACACAATATCAATAAAGATTGTTATTGTTGTTTATATTTATTTATTCCTATAAAAATGAGATAGTTAAGTTTGAATGTGGAATCCACAATCACTTTATATCCCCATATGATGCACTGAATGCAACAGCGATTGATACGGAAATTATATGAACCTCAATTTATTAGGTAATTTGAATGTTTTAAAATATAGAATAACAAAACCACTTAATAAAGTCCAACACGGCAAAATTGAAAATGTTGCTGGCTACTTGTATTCTTACACATATAATGGGAAACGAGTAAATATGGTACAAATTATTGCAGGAAATTTTCATTACAGATTTACGGTGTACCTTCAGAAGGGCAGTCAGTATGAGCCCAACTATATCGGAATGTAAGGTTTAATTACGACAAGGACAAAAATGATATCGTAAGGAATCACAAACAAAGAAATTGGGACCAAGAAGAGAGGTTCATGACCCGTTTCCCTTTCAAGCCAAATGAAAGTTTTGTAATGAGCTAATGATATTGGTTGAGCAAGATTCGTACAAGGTAGATTTATAAAAATATAAATCTAAATGAAAAAAATAAAACAAAATATTTATATATAAACATTTACATAGTCAATGACATTTCGTCATTAACAACAATTTGAACAATTCTAAAGGACCAAAGAGACAGAATATGAACGATGCTGATAGGTTGTTAACAGTTGGTCACTCTTGTCCAAATATGCCGGCCAAAAGTTGAATATTTGATGTGTTCCATGGTCAAGCAAGTTTCTAAAAATGTTTCGCGAAACATTCTCCTTTGGCCAGAAATGGCCTACCATTTGAAAACGTGTTTCTATTTTCCATAAACCAAGGTTAACAAGTTTTTATAACAAACAAATTTTTTTTAATGAAGATTATATTTTACAATGTACCATAACTGTTATACTGCCAGGACATGGTACCAGTTAGCCTAGCCAACAGTTTACAAATGTTAGTTTATATCATTGTTCATTAGGCTAATCATTACTAAACCAAGCATATTATGGTCAAAGTGTCCGTCCGGCGAATGCTATTCATCTTGCTTAAATACAAATAAGATAACTATAGGTACGAAATAAGTTGAAAACATAAATGAGCCGCGTCACGACAAAACCAACATAATGGGTTTGCGACCAGCATGGATCCAGACCAGCCTGCGCATCGTAATTACGAATAATTAATTCGTAAAAACGAAATGTTATTTCGTAATTACGAAAAATCAATTCGTTTTTACGAAATATTAATTCGTATTTACGAAATATTAATTTGTTTTTACGAAATGTTATTTCGTAATTACGAAATATTATTTCGTTTTTACAAAATATAAATTCGTTTTTACGAAATATTAATTCGTATTTACGAAATATTAATTCGTTTTTATGAAATGTTATTTCGTAATTACGAAATATTATTTCGTTATTACGAAATGTTATTTCGTAATTACGAAATATTATTTCGTTATTACGAAATATTAATTCGTAAAAACGAAATGTTATTTCGTAATTACGAAATAATAATTCGTTTTTACGAAATCTTATTTAAGGTCATTTTAAGCTTGATAAAGAACCTATTAATCTCACAAATGGGTCATTTACATGCCTTGATCAACTTTGCGATTATAAGCCGAATGGTTCTCAAGTTATTATATTTAAGTGAACAGGGTTTTTGAGTGAGAAGTCATTCTCTATCCAAAATGGTCTTTTTTCCCTATTGTCAAATACATGTGCCTATCAGCAATGTTTTAATGTTTGAGGCAATCTTTTACGACATGTATCTTTAAAACAGAAACATGCTATATTATTCCGTTCTTTTATCATATACATTAGAAAAACTAATGGGACGAGGGGGTGGGGGTGGCGGTCCAGACTTTCACTAATCTAATCAATTTAAAATGAATATTTCCTCACAATTTATTATTAGAAATGTCCGTGTTACGATTTGAAGCACAGGACCCCCATTTTAAGTAAATTTTCCTAGCGCGTGTACTATCACGGCTGTGGCTCAACGCTATTGACATGCGATTATTTTAATTTATGTACAATAGTGTAAAGTTAAAAAAAATTGGGGAGAACAAAAATCACTATTTATATTGCATATACATGCCTTATATTAAGTCAGGAACTTAGTTTTGAGGCCTTATTTATAACTATTACCAAAACTCTTTGAAACGCTTGAAAAAAATTAATTCGTTTTTACGAAATATTATTTCGTATTTACGAATTATTATTTCGTAATTACAAAATAACATTTCGTTTTAACGAATTAATATTTCGTACTTACGAAATAATATTTCGAAATTACGAAATAATATTTCGTAAAAACGAATTAATATTTCGTAAAAACGAAATAATATTTCGTAATTACGAATTAATATTTCGTAAAAACGAATTAATATTTCGTAAAAACGAATTAATATTTCGTAAAAACGAATTATTATTTCGTAATTACGAATTATTATTTCGTAATTACGAATTAAACTCCGGGGAAAAAGTGTGGAAAATATCACCTTAGGGGCTCCGTAGCATGTGTAATGAATATAAGATAATGATTTATTATTTGATGCAGTGAACTAAAAACGATGTTTGTTTTTGTAAATTCCTCTTTTTAAACTTTTATAGCAATACAGGCACTAAAATTTTTGTTTCGTTTTCTCCTGACTTATTTATTTATTTTTCTTTCTCGTTATTTTAATCAAATTATTCTTCGGCTACATAACATACACATTTAAAATATAAAAATATTTAACGCTTTGAAAATTACAAAACGATAACTTTATCTCATTCTAAATGTTTCAACTTGCAAATACAATAAAATATGTTTTTCATTGAAAAAATAAGCTCTTATTTAGTTTTAATTAATCAGCACCAAACCTAATATTCAGCAAATATACGTGCTTTACTATTTCATGGTTTGTGGCGATATTGATTTACCTATGCAACCACACTGTGTATATCCCGTAACGTGAATGATAACGCCGTGGCAGTGCTGAGGGTGTCACCCCGGTACGGAAATAGTCCGAGCCCGTTGAAAGCTAGAAAGAAGTTCTTTTAATTTTTTGAAGTGGACCATTTCAAGTGACGATCATCCTTGGTAAGACTGATTACACTTTAAAGATATTTTCTGTAAATGTGTACATGAAGTTTCATTTCTGAGTACTTTAAAGGTTGTTTTTTTGTGTATCAAGGCAGGAAATCATTTCTTGGTGGAAGGTTTCAGAAAGTACTATGCGTCAGAATACACCTCAGTTGTTATTTGTTTTATTCTATAGTGCTTATACAAATTAAGAGCTGCAGCTTATGTATTATTTTTTACGCTAAATTTAGTTGGATAGTATTATTGTTGAAAGTTATAGCCATCAAATGCCTGTACGGGATATGTTGTGTCCAGAATTTAGTCTTATAGATGTGATGGATTTATAGGATATATAATACAAAAATTCATTTCTGTCGATTTTATTTACTATAAGATATGTTGATCCGCTAACATAACCGTGCTACTCGTTTTAAGATGACAAGACATACATATTGCACATTTCCTCTTTTATTTACCCATGCCTGCATTACGGATATATCTATAGTAAACACGTACATAATCTGACCGGCCTTCAGGTTCTAGCCATCGTAACATAACACTGAACATTTTTAATATATGTAAAATATTTTGGTATTTATACTGGTATGTGAAAAGTATATGTGCGTATATGAGTATACGTGTTGACATAGAAATAAGTCTTTTTTCCAATTGTGAAATATTAGTTTTTCATAACATCATGTACCTTTCCTAATTTCAGATTAGCACACATTTTCGCTTAACAATTATACGCACTTGATATTAAAGTGACAAAAGAGTGAATGACAAAACTATTTCAAGGTATATTATTTCTTTGTCTGTATTCTTATGACAAAGGTTGTACTGAATATATTAAGGAAGATGTGATTAAGGGAGATACTTGACATTAATAATAGTGCTATATTTATCTATTAAAAATAATTCAGTTGCAAAAAAATGTGCACTTGTTGGCTTGGAATTTCTGTAAATACGTGCATACATAAGCAAACTGGCAAATTAAGTATAAACATTTGTTTGGCCATGCAATGGTCTAATTTGTTTAAAAATGATAATTATCAGAATTTTGGTTTTGTGTAAATAGCTTAATTGTGAAAAGTAAAAGTTGCAATACTGTGCAGCTTTGGTGTGTCTCGTTACATGACCTTTAATCAGCACCCGTTGCCTTCATCTCATCAACGGATCAACAAAAGAGCCGCGTCACGACAAAACCAACATTTGCGATCAGCATGGATCCAACCAGCCTGAGCATCCGCGCAGTCTGATCAGGATCCATGCTGTTCGCTATCAGTTTCTCTACTTGTTATAGAGTTGTAAGCGAACAGCATGGATTCTGATCAGACTGCGCGGATGCGCAGGCTGGTCTGGATCCATGCTGGTCGCAAACCCATTATGTTGTTTTATCGTGACGCGGCTCAAAAGTGTTCGGGACTGCATGTCCCTGGCGTTACACCATATGGACTTAGGTTAAGAATGATGTTACGTTAAAATTGTCAAGTATCTCCACGTTAAAATTGTCAAGTATCTAAAATAATAACAAAGATTTATAAAAGGAATTTTTTGCAATTTTTGTATTTCAATCCTCTGAGGGGTGTCCGTGGCCGAGTTGTTAAGGTCGTTGACTTCAAACCACTTGCCCCCTCACCGCTGTGGGTTCGAATCCCGACAGGGACTTTGGATTCTTTCATGTGAGGAAGCTATCCAGCTAGCTTACGGAACGTCGGTGGTTCTATTCAGGTGCGCGTTCGAGCCTGAAATAATGCACAGAAGGGCACCTGATGTCTTCCTTCACCAGTAAACCTGGAACGTCGCGATATGACCTATACTGTGTCGATGTGACGTAAAACCCAAAACAAATAAGCAAACAAATCAATCCTCAGCTATTCACACGTTAAAACGTTCTGATAATTATCAATTTCAAAAAAATGTTACCCATCTACAACATTCTACAACTTTTTATAAGTATACACAACTTTTCTGTAACCAAATGCAATTTTTCTTTTCCAACTCAGTACATGACATTTGTCCGTCTGGCTAGCATTGTTTAGGAAATGTGATTGCATACTCGTTCTTCGGTATCAACTTGTTAATAAGATAGGCTGCGTGTAGTAACCGGGATATTATCTTGGCAACGATGGCTGCTCTGCCTGACAGAGTGGAAATAATGTTGAAACATAACGCGTGGCAAACAATAATGATGATACTGAACCAAGACAGACTTTGGACTAAGATTTTGAAACCCTGATGACTGGTCCTGCCAAAACAACCAACATGTCGATTAATATTGTAGTTATATCCATTTCAATCAAACCAGCATTATGTGATTTTGCATCAGCAATCAATTCCTTTACGTCAGCTATAACTCTGTCCACTGCAACAAATGAGTCGGAAATATACTTTATCGCTTCGCCAATATTAAACTGTATCCGAAAATACCCCGGTGAAACCGACAAACTTCAGGACTAGAAGTTAGATTTCAACAATGATTCTAGCAACAAGCCACTTGTCATATTTTGCATATTAATTTGTCTCATCTAGCTTCACGAGGGAGGGAAGAAATGAAAGCTTGGATCCTGTGATCAATTCGAATAGAATATGTATGGACCCATCTTTCTCTCGCTGAAAAATGAAACAAGGGTCGTGTGAATAATTTTTTCAACTTCCTTTATAGAATGAAATGTACCCTGGAAAAGACAAAGGTTTTCTTTAACAATACGGTTTTTGAAGAAAAACCTTTTGTACTCAAACGATATTTCTTATGCTTAATGTAGAAAAAAAATAGTAAGGACTAGTATAAAACGACGATTATACGCTATGTTCCGATACGTGACTTAGATAAAAAAATTAACTTTGCTCAAGGCTCAATAGAGAAAGCAAATGAAATACATGTTTCAGAGTTGATGACTGTGATACGAATTTTTGTCAAAATTGCAAGAACTAACATCTTACCTGGATATCAACTTTGAAACTATGACAATCAAAGACTGTTCTAATCAATTCTTGTCTTTCCGGGGACAGATGTGCAAGCGCTTCGTCCAGTGTGTTTGCATGTTTCAGCATGTGAACATATTTGTCGTATGTTTCCTTTATTTTAATCTCGGCAGTTTTTCTTTTTCTGGGTCTTCTTCGAGTTTGTCATAATCTTCTGTGTCATCTTTTTTCAACGTGTCAAAGACCGTGTTCAAAACTTTCTTGAAATCAAAATCCTCTTTGAACTCCATGGTACGTTACTCAATTGTAAATTCGTACTGAAAAGCAAGATGTGAAGGGTAACCGTAAGTAACAACGCTTCGTAGTCATGTTAATCATGAAACTGAGACGTATTGATTAACTTTTTTTACATAAATGTCCTATTTTCTTACTTACAGTAAATATACTTAACATCATTTCTGAATTTTAAATTTTAGTAAATTTTTAAAACCCATAATTAAATATAAATAAAATGGTTTAAATTATCAAAACAACATCATAGTTACTGGAGAAATATGTCTGCCTTCTGTTAAAAATTGATATGTCGTAAAATAGAATTTACTTAATACTTATATTTAAAACATCATATTACTTATTTTAAGATTATTGCTTTCTCAAAGGAAAAATATTTTACTACTTACATGGTCATCGAGCTGCAAGACAGAGCGTATGTTATCCAGGTTACAGTCACTTATATTTTTACTATACAATCAAGAGACAATTTTGATCTAATCGACTAATATTAGCTAAATTCACCCCTCTCTCCGTAGCTGTAATTTTGTGATGATCTTAAAAATCAGAGAAAACTTTAACAGTAAAACCGTATTGTATGCGACTCGTGCGCATTCATATAGTCGTTTGAAAAACAAAACGGATTTCGAAAATAATAACAACTTCCGCCTAAAGTCAATATTTAATATGCATACTTTTCTACACTTGAGCTTGTAACTTAAAAAAGGCCTTTTCTTGGTTACTAAATGGCTGTCTTCACTCTAGTACTGAACCCTATGTTTTATAGAGCAAATGGGTAGATCTATACACTCAGGAATTTGTTTACAAACACTATAATTATTCCGGATTTATGATTATCACTATAGGTCACACATTAACTTAGTTTTCATAAAATACAATGGAAATTAAAAAAAATAATTGTTATTGTTTTATTTTTTTTCTAGAAACTACAAAGCGTAAATAAATCGTTTGCCGAAATCGTTTGATTCTTAATTAAGCCTGTCCTGTGTTTACTTTATTTGCAATAAAAACTCATCCGAAGGGTGTCAAATTACATGACCCAGAAATTAGAATTGTTTCCTCATACTTAAGTGCAGAAAATGGAATAATTTATTAGGACAAAATAAATGAAATAAACTTGAAATAATTCACAAAAAAACTGTTCTTTTTTCATTTTTGTCTTTTATATCAAACAACTAGAACGGGCCTCGAAATGTCCATATCTGCTCACATTTCCTAAGTACGCCAAATATCACTTAATTGTTAAACGTTTACGTGTGAACATTATGACCTTACAATTTCTAACGATGTCTTTCAGTGATTAGTTACGATGACTGATATCCGAGATCCTGGCTATGTTTTGACTGATAAAAATTAAGTGCGCGATGCAGGAAAAACTTAAAATCTTTTGTCAAGGTTAACGGACCTGTTTAATTTTGTATTCTTTTCACACCAAGAAGATAAGTAATTTTTAAACGCCAATAAATGTCTACGAAAAGTATGTCGAGTAACTCAGTAAAATAGTTAGTTAGTTAGTTAGTTAGTTAGTTAGTTAGTTAGTTAGTTAGTTAGTTAGTTAGTTAGTTAGTTAGTTAGTTAGTTAGTCAGTCGGTTAGTCGGTCGGACCCCAAAGTGCGTTTGACTCCAAAGTGCGGTGTTACAACGCTGTAAGTTTAAAAACCCACCAGAGACTTTCAATCTTTGTTTATAGCGAACCTGTTTAGGACCCTTGCATGGCTGACCACACAATTCCCAAAATGGGTTTCATAAAATTTAGGTACAACATCTAAAAAATAGAAAATTTAAGCGATATATCTACAGATAAATTTGGTGTAATCAAACGCGGGGAAAAAAATAAAAATTTTTGGTTTTCACAAAAAGTAAAGAACAAGAAAATAAATATATATGGGGCTTATTAAAACGTTGGGGAGGGAATCTCATTATGAAAACGTTCCGTCGGGCCTTTTATTTGGGCGCTTTTCATTAATAACAATTCTTTTAGCCATGATTCATTTAGTAAAATCGAGGGTGCCTTTTTTCTTGAAGTACAAGGGGAGTCCTAAAAGATAGACATTACTGGGAAAGTATTACGGCGCCAGATTTTTTAAAAAGGTTCTTTTCTCCCAAAAACTATTAGTAAAACTCTTTTTCTTCATTCTTTGATCCCGATTGACCTGCTTTGGGGGTGATTGGGCAACATTTTATTACATTTGGTTTTGGTTGGGAGTTGCAAAATTTTTTTTCTAATTGAAATACCAACCTTTTAAAAATTTTTAGGACTACGCTTGCGCATTCTCGTTTAAAATTTTTATTTTAACCCAAGTCGTAGTTTTTCTTTAGGGGTTCCCAAGGTTTTTTAAACTTCACTGAAAAAAACTGGTTAAAAATCGGTGTGAAATTGTCCCTCCCCAACTTTAAAATTTTTTGGCGCTAAACACTGACACCCAAAAACCTAACCAAAGGGAGTGTGGCATTCAATGGGAAAAGGGTTCCAAACCCCCCAAACCCGTCCAAAAACCCCCTGACCACTAGTTTAATTTTTTAAAACCCAAAAATAAAACCGGCCCAAAATAAAAACATTGAATTTAAATTTTATTTATTATGTTTTGTGGGCTGGGTCATTTGGGAGCACTGTATTAAAGTTTCGTTTGCCCTCTCTCTTCTCTAAATTTTATAACATCAGCATTTTTTGGGAAGATTTAAAATAAAAATTCGAACCCCCTTTAAAAAATGAGTTTTTGATTAAATTTTGGAAAAAGAAAAGTATATTAAAATTTTTAAAAAAGGATTAATAAAAATTATTAAAGATTTAAAAATTAATTTTAAAAATTTAAATTTTTCGCAGGGAAACGTTCCTATATTTTTTGTTCAGGTGTACGGAAAAATGATTTGTCTTTATTGGCCAATTTCCATAAGGGGTTTTTCAGGGGGTTTTATACAGACAATAGAAATTATCCTTTTTTCATATATTTTATCAAATTTTTTAAACCCAAAAGGGAAAATTTGATTTTTATTGGGGGGGTTTAAATAAAAACATATTATATGGAAATTTATAAAAAAAATTTTTTTTTTTGAACATTTTTTTTACTTTAAAATAAAAACAACCAAAATGGGATATTTTAATTAAACGGACCATGGGAAACTTTAAAACTTGCCCCAAAACAAAATTTTCCCCTACCCTAATTTCTGTCATGATTTGTTTCTGATACATGTGTACTTATTTATTGTATTACAGACCTTCCATTCTAGATCGATTTACTGTAAAGACAAAACATTTTTCCAAATATTTATTGCAGAGATTTGTTTCTATTGAAAGTATGTTTCTGTTCCGTTCCGTTCCGTTCTCTTCTCTTCTGTTTTGTTTTGTTTCCATTGAAAGCCAAAATATTTAAATTACCGATGCATTATTTTCTCTCTTTGTTGTCATAAAATGGAAGAATATCACTTAATGATGACTAATTCAAATATTTTTTCTAGAGAGAATGGCGCTTTTAAACGATTTACAATAAAAGAAAACTATATGGTGGTGGTGGTGTTAGTTTTCACTCCGTGTGTCACGGCAGTACGCCACAATGAATTAAGTAGAGCACGGGGCTGTCACCGTATTGGTCCTGGACAGGCCATCAGTTGCCTACACTTTCGCAAGGAACTGAAACTTCTGTACATACCAGAGCAGAGGCACAGTGAGAATGACTGTTGAAAGGATTTCATAATCAATCACAACGATAATGTCCTGCACCGTCCTGGAATCCAACCGCATCGCCCGATTCACAGTTTTTAATGAACCTAATATGTGTCTATATGGCCGGTATTTTGGATATTGCTGCAAAACAGCTGGTGTTTTAACGCGTCGCTTCATATAATTTTTGTAATGTACTGTTTCGGCTTGAATTAAATGGTAGGAAATGTAATTGTCTAATTGTAGAAGACGGGTTTCACTTTATTCATGTATATAGACCAAATGTACATAAATTTATTAATTATATAAATGAAATAATTCTGGTAATAAAAAAGCAATTAGAAACATATCAATGTATATTTAAAAAAAACTTTGATGAACGAAACATTTCTCTTTATAATTGAAAAACATATATTATACAATATGTCTTTTTTTTCGGACAAAGTTCGTTTGAGAACGGTTAGACTTCATGTAAACGTTACAGAGAAGAACAGGAAGCCGGATTTCCATTGGTATTTTTTTATATTAAATACTGAAATGGGGGAATCTCATCAGCCATTTTGAAATAAATACTATATTGTAATGATCTAAAGGATCTTCATGAAACGTATAAACGTCGAAATCATGAAATAATTATAATGAGTATCGAAAGCAAACTTACTAGGTAAACTAATCAGAATATCAATGTTTAATTTTGAATTTAATCCAAATATCACACTGAATATAATCTTAAACTTTATATAACGTGACATGTAACTTCATTTTGGCTGGTCGAGTATTTTTCATCTTATTTATTTTTATAAAAAAGAAGAATTAAAAAAATATAAGAACTTGCAAAAAAAAAAAGATATCAAAGAATAATTTCATCCTTAAAATAAACAATATAAACATATTTACATAGAAGAATAATCGCAATGCAGAAAACCAAGTTTCTCTCCTTCCCCCACTCCATCATATTGCTATGTTTTGACTCCGGCTTTTATATAACTAAAAGCATATGCAACAAATGTTTTAATTGTCATCCTTCTTAACGCATTACCTTTTGAATCGAATTAACTTGCGAATAATATTTTTATATTTTATTTATTTATTCCAGTCTCATCTATATACAATATAATATAAAATACATGTATATAGCCATTCTATAAGAATTATAAGAGACTAAACATCTAAAACACTATATCATACATGCTAAAACCAATATTAATATTAAACATTACCAGTGTTAGACAGCTTAAAATATTAAAATCATGTTTGTACAAATGATAGCCAAATGGTAACATAGTACTTTTGAGTGACACTAAATAACATGCTAGCTAACATTAAAACGTCAAACACTGGAAATATTTCATCTGTACAATTTTAAATTGTATGTCATGTACTAAAATTGTTGCAATTACTAAATATTATTACTATCATACATGGTAAAACCAATATTAAGATTAAACATTACCAGTGTTAGACAGCCTAAAATATTAAAATCATGTTTGTATAAATGATAGCCAACTGGTAACATAGTACTTTTGAGTGACTCTAAATAACATGCTAGCTAACATTAAAACGTCAAACACTGGAAATATTTCATCTGTACATTTTAAATTGTATGTCATATAATAAAATTGTTGCAATTACTAAATATTATTACTTACAGTTTAAAATTTTTACGATATAAAATATTATATTTTATTTTAATATATCACAGCAGGATTTTGCGAGGATTCTAACCATGTCTGGGTGAGAGAACATGAATACAAATTTATCATTATCAGACATATCATAAAAACTATTGTCTACAGATTGAGCTTTTTCATAAATGACATCACGTATTTGATTATATAGCGGGCACTGTAATAAAACATGCATTTCTGTCTCAATAAACTCTTCACAGAATGGACAAACTCTTTCAGCTACTGGCATGTTAGTATAACGCCCAGTTTCAATTCTTAGAGGCGCAACACCACACCTGAATTTGGATAGCGCAGACCTATGACAATATGGTAATTGCAGTTTACAATATAGCTCAGTATCATAGCTACTCTTAAACAATCTGTATGTCCTTAGCTTATTGTGGTTAGTGCCATTTACGCCTGTATATCTATTCAAATCAGTTTGCCATTGAACAATATGACTATTCATCAATGCAGTACATACATCATTCAACATCTTATTTTTATCAAAAGGAAGCATAGTATACATATCTAAATCTATTGAACACAATTTATCTCTTACAATAAATGGCCAATTTTTACATCTATTATTACCTTTATTTACTGACCAATTAAAAATTTTCTTATTAATCCTACAACCATTATATAATAAACATCTATGCCAATGGTTACATACAGATTTCCACTGGTCAATAATAATTGGTTTCCAACCCATGTCACCTTGGACTGCAACAATAGGTGTGTATTTACCAGTACCAAGAAAGAACCTCATTGCTCTGTGATGAACGGCATTGACACAAGAAAAAGATTTAAGTACCCCATACTGCTGAAGCATACGTGATGACTGGTACCACACAAGAATAGTACAACTTTGTATAAACATCATAAGGTAGTCCACCAAACGATTTGTACTTAGCAATGAGGAGCCCGAGGGCACGTCCAGCACATTGAGCAACTATTTTAGCTGTTATGTTATAATCAAGGTGCTCGGTTAAAGCTAAACCAAGGTACATATATCT